AGGCACGCGTGCAACGAACATTAACTCCGCATTTTGCGCATAATGCGGTTCTTCAGGAAACGTTGATGTTTTCTTGCACTATGCACTCGGCCTTTTGTGCATTTGTGCAGTTCTTCAGGAACTGCTGGTGGCTTTTGCATAATGCACTCAAGCCTTTGTGCACCCAGAGGATCTACAGGAACCGTTGATGGGTTGTTGCTCATTGCGTTCAGCGTTTTTCGCATGATGCAGTTCTTCAGGAGTCGATGGTGGCTTTAGCACGGTGCAGTTCTTCGAGAACTGGTCGTGGAGTTTGCAGAACGCGCTCAGCCTTTAGCGGGGTCTGCAGGAACTGTTGTTGATGGTTCAGTGTCGTCGGCACACGTTTACGAATGTTGCTTGGCACGACTGCAGCAATAACGGCAATGGTGTATCATCGCCTGAATTGCTGTCGCTTCTATTTGACGCGTTATTGCGGATGAAGATGTGCGCACGGCTCTGCAGTAGAGACAGCGGCTCGCAATCGGAAGGTTATGAGTTCAAATCCCGGCTGGGAGAGAATGACTCAGCCCAATATCCCTCTAAAGATGACCACTTTGACAGTGGTTGTCCTCTGGATATACTCGGCCCCGTCGTATGAATGGGCAATTTCCACCAATAGAAGATAAGCACCTTTTAAATCCTCAAGAACTCACTTTAAGCGCCGAGGTCGTATGGCCAACACCACGCCCGGGCGCCTTTATCTCCCCCAGTGCTTAATGTGCTTACACCGCACCAGGTACCGAGTCTACCACTCGCCACTGACGTTGATAGCCAGAGCTGAGATTCCAACTCGGGTGAGTAGTGCATTCCGATAACCACTGCGCCACCGCTCCCCATACATGTACACACGTACAAAGACAAAGACCCCCCGTATAGCCTTAATATACTTTTGGGGCAAGTGTTGTTAGCGAGCACCTATGATTGTCGGTACGGTACACGAAGGGTGGGTGGCCAGCACCACGCTTGACCACCTTTGTCTCCCCAGTAACAACGTTTACACAATGCACCAGGTACTCATATCAGGCTGAGTCGACCTAGACAAAGGCCAGAACCATTTCGTCACCGATCGTGTGCCGTGAGGGGAAATCGATCTGGAGTGGGGTGGCCTTGTTGGTATCGCAGTGCCCTAACCACCGCGCCACCGCTCTAAAGATACGAGCAAAGACAAAGGTCCCCCGTGTAGCATTAACAGACTGTTTGGGCAAGTGCTGTTAGCAAATAGCACCTATGAAAGCCGGCACGGCACGCGAGGGGGTGGGCACCAACCACGCCGGGCCTCCTTTGTCTCCCCAGTTGCGATGTATACACGCTGCTCATTTCAGGCTGAGTCAACCTTGGGGGGAGGGGTGAGGTGGGGGGGTAGGACCGGTTCGGACAATCGTCTCCGGTGGCGAACCGCGAGCCGGGGATCGAACTCGGGTGGCCCGGCCTCGTAACGGAACTCGCTCGCGCGGAGACAAAGGCAACGCATTTAGACTGCCGGAGCGGTTAGCGAGCCCCTATTAATAGGCCTATTAATAGGCGCTCTCAAGAAAACGCGCTTGAGAAAGGCCACGCAGGCTGCACGTGCGTGTGTCCGTCTTGTCGCCCCTTGCCATTGTTTAAATAAAGCCAGTTACAGCCAGGGCCAGATTAAGGCACGGGGGCTTTAGGGGCTGCAGCCCAGCTGGAGGGCCTCCAGAGATGAAGTGAAAAGTGATTTCGTTGGCGAATGCTGAATTTTATTTCTCGTTGGCCTTGTAAACATACATTACATTTTTATTTAACTTTGTTTTCCTTTTGATAATATTACCTGGGGGGGGGGGGGGTCTCACAGTACCTGTAGCCCAGGGGGGTCTCACAGTAGCCCAGGGGGGGGGGGGTCTCACAGTAGCCCAGGGGGGGGTCTCACAGTAGCCCAGGGGGGGGTCTCACAGTAGCCCAGGGGGGGGTCTCACAGTAGCCCAGAGGGGGGTCTCACAGTAGCCCAGGGGGGGGTCTCACAGTAGCCCAGAAGGGGGGGGTCTCACAGTACCTGTAGCCCAGGGGGGGGTCTCACAGTAGCCCAGGGGGGGGGGGTCTCACAGTACCTGTAGCCCAGGGGCGGGGGGGGTCTCACAGTAGCCCAGGGGGGGAGGTCTCACAGTAGCCCAGGGGGGGAGGTCTCACAGTAGCCCAGGGGGGGGGGTCTCACAGTAGCCCAGGGGGGGGGTCTCACAGTAACCCAGGGGGGGGTCTCACAGTAGCCCGGGGGGGGGGGGTCTCACAGTACCTGTAGCCCGGGGGCCTACACAATCGGCTCTGGCTGCAGCCCTTGTGATGGGACTTTGTAGGGATGAAGGTTGTGATTCATAAGAGGCACGGGGTGTCCAATACGGTCTGAGTTGGTCTTGTAATAAGGTAGGCAGCAGTGATAAGAGGTTGACAGGTTTGTCATTGTTTAAAATAAAACAAAAATCTTAAACGCTAATCAGAACGCACGTGTGCACGTTGGACTTCTTCCGCACCGTACACGTAGCCATCGGAAGGCGCCACATGAGTGGCGATGCGTTCTGCTCCGGCTCTCACCCAGTGTTGTTCTTTCGGCATTGTTTGGAACTTTAATTTCGCGGGGGGGGGGGGGGGGAGGGGGAAGAGGACGAGGAAGGGTTGGGGGGCTCAGACCCCCCGACGCTGCAAACACACAGCAGTAGTAGCAGGAGGCGGCTTCCGCGACCAATATCATCCATAATACAGGGCTTTTGGGTTAGATCGCGTAAATGTTTACATAAATGTTTACGTAAATAATTACGTAAACATCGTCACTGTAGAGACGTAAATATTTACGCGATCTTACCCCACAAAAAAACCTTTTTTTGCGCGATCTATTTTCGCAATCTTACCCAAAAAACCCTGTATCGTGGTTATATCGCGCTCACCGCTACACCACCGCTACATGCACACACACACACGTACATATATACACGTACACACACACGATCTCTATCTTAATCAGCGCTCTCTACGTCATAGACACACCCACACGCACTCAGTCTTCATTTGGATTAGCATTCCGTGCGTCAAATACATACACACGTACACACGTTCATACATACATACATACACACTCGACCGTACACACTTACATACAAATACAAAGATACCTCGTATAGCCTTAACAGGGGCAAGTGCTGTTAGCGAGCACCTATGAAGGCTGGAACGGTACACGAGGGGGTGGGTGGCCAGCGCCACGTTCGACCGCCTTTGTCTCCCCAGTGGCGATGTTTACACACCGCACCAGATACTCATTTGAGGCTGAGTCGACCTAGGGGAGGCCCAGGACCGGTTCAGATGATCGTCACCGGTGTTGGCCGTGATCGGAAATCGAACCCGGATCGCCGGGTTCATAGCGCAGCGCGCTAACCGCTACACTACCGCTCCCCACTACACGTACATAAAGACAAACACACACACTCGACCGTACACATGTGCATACATACACACTGAAGTTATCCGTGGCAAGGGAATCGAACTCAGGTCATCGGATTCATAGTGCAGTGCGTAAACCACTTCGCCACCGCTCCACCCTCTGCGTTGACTCCACTGCACTCAATTGCTTGGGGCCCTCTATCATTAATTCATTTTCCTAGTGTGGAATTGCTCGCATTCTGGAACGCGTCCGCTCTTTGATGTGTTAATTGACTAATTGCATCGCTCTCCCTCGCCCTTTCATAATAACCCCACGCCTGTGTTCGTTATCATTGTTAATATTCCGACTCATTACTACAACACAGTAAATGTTTTGAATTATTCCTGGTCAACGTTTATCTGTAAGTGAATAGCGTTCTCTGATTACGGGCCTCTGTTTAATAAACAACGAAAGTGTAACTTTTATTCTCAACAAAGGTTCACTTTTGTTTTAAAACAAATATTTCTGTAAAAAAAATTTACAATAACCGGAGTAGTGAAGAATGGTTCAACATCTTTTTTTTTTTTACCCAAGTCCAGTGCATTCTGTGGAAGCTCTCATCCAGCAGTGGATTGACAATAGGACTGCACGTGAAAATTCCATTCTCTTCTTGCCCCATGAATGGCGGTAAGTTCAGGAGCTACACGGCAATGTCGGTGTTTGCTGATCAGGAGAGAAAGAGTTCGTGTGGCCTAGAAGGCCATCCTCCTCCTTTGAAGGAATGCAGACTACAGTGGTTTAAGAGATGGTTCAGAGTTGGGGTGGAGTGACCACGATCTCCACTCCTGTGATTTCCACCTTTAATTTTAAATGTATTTAAGTAAAGGTGCGCATCGGACGTTGCCATTTACGTACAGTGAATCGCATAATAATGCACGGGTCTTGATGTACAATCCACTGCTGGATCGAGGATCCCACAAAGCGTGTCAGTTATGGGGGTTCTTTGACCATACTTCACCGCGCGTGTCAGCGATGGGTTGATGATGAAGGCTGTGTGCGTAGCGGGGCCGCTTTAGGACATCACTCGCTACGACTGATATCAGCCGTGGCCGAGAACCGACATTAGGTTCGCCGGGTTCTCAACGCAATGAGCGTGCCACCGGTTCCCTCCTATCCCATCATCATCATCAGCCACGATCAATCCACTGCTGGATGAAGGCCTCCTGGAGCCATTGCCATGTCTCAGAGTCCCGCGACGAAAGCGTTCCATCCAGCGTCTGCACACACGCTGGCGTGTTCTTCTTCTTCCGACTTTGGCTGCCATTCACTGTTTAGTCTCGACCTGCGAGATACCGGCTCATATATCTGTGCGTTTAAATAAAGGCGATCTATTCACCTTAGTGGGCTGCTGGCTGTGGGATCTGGAGGAACGACGTGAGTGGTGTGGGGGTGGTGGTGTGGGGTGGTCGTTGGGTGGTAGAGGGGGGGGTGGTCGGGGTCTCTGGAGAGCGGCCAAGAGGGAATGGAGGGAGCAGGAGAGGTTGATCGGACGAAGAGGGGGGGGGGGATGACAGAGAGAGAGGGGGGGGTTAGCAGAGCCATTATAAATCACGGGGCGCGAGGCTCCGAGCTGTCAGAATTCCCTCTCCAGACCATCGCGGAGGCGCTGTCTCTGTTCCCGAGGTCATCACCGCCGCAACATGCCCGAACCAAAGAAAGCCGGTGAGTGGCTCGCACACAAGTTCGACTCCCAGTTCGTCCTCGAAAGTAACGCGCAGTCGTTGACGCATTTGGTACTCATCTCCCGTTTGCAGCTTTGAGCCAGTGGTGGAAGTTCCACATTTATATGGCGGGCTCAAGACTATCCATCCGTCCATTCCATCGGACAACCACCGTTGACTGTGCAGAATCAATCGAGCGTCTCAACGGGTCCGGGCAATGAGACTTCGAAACGTAGAAACCATTTACAGCCCCGCTGATCGATACGCTGAGATCGCCTGGTCGAACGATATCAGCAGCGTGTCTCGGTGTGTGCGACTCGTGATACGTCTACCCCAAAATAAAACAATTCCCGGCTTGGCCTGCTTGCTTCATCGATTACTGCTGCAAGAGAGTCGGTCATTGAAGGCTCACTTGACAACCTGACGGACTTAAACCTGAGGTTACTCATCACCTGCGGTGACATAGCCCTGTCTATTTCTTCAAAGTAATACTCGCAATGCATAGCAGATTTCAAACGAGTATCCCGATAGGAAGACGTGATGCAAAAGATCTCGACAATGCTACCGTAACGACGCATTTGCTTAACATGCATAAGACCAGGGCCTGCATCTGTATTTGCAGTTGTCTGGGCAAATATCAAGTGCCGGTCGCGGTGTTGACGGTGGTATCTCAGCATCGTTAGGCAATATACCCAGGAGCACTGTCCGCGCACGTGTCTAGTCATTAAGTATGCCAACAATGTTACGTTTAAAAATATCAACGACGCGCGTTTATATTTGTCGGGAATATTTAGAGCTGCATTATATAATCGCGCACGGTGGGTAGGAATGCAGCGGTGGAGTGGCCCGTGGGCACACCGCGCTTTAACGAGCCCGATGCTCACTCACGGCCAACGAATCAGTGGCGGCCTCGCCACTTCACCAAACCGCATTGACCAGCGTCGTGAAGTATGGTCAAACCAGCCCCATCATTGACCTTCATTCCAGCAGCGGTTCGCGACAAAGAGATGTACGTGTTTAAGTTATAGAATCATGCGGAATCTTTAGTTGGTCTAATCTTGATTTGTAGCTTTCGTGACTGACCGGAATCCATGCTCTTTGGTTCTTTCGGTAAAGTCACGTAGGTAGAAAAATAAAACGAAATAAAAAATAATATATCACGACGTTTCGATCGCAACACAAGCGGTCGTCCTCGGGCGGAAAAGAATTATCCAGCAGTGGAACTGCTGAATCAGCGAGAGAGCTGTTACAACAACGTTACATAGTTGGTCTGTTGCCGGATATTTGACCGATGCTCTACCACGCTGGTCAGTGCGAGTTGACGGTGGCAGGATCGGTTCAGATATCTCTCAGCCGTGTTTGAGATCCACACCCAGGTGGCTGACTTCACAGCGCAGCAGTGCGCTAACCACCACGCCACCGCTCCACCTTGCATAAGGCGTGGTGGTTGTACGATAATTGTGCTGCAATCCAGCACTTTAGATGTGGGGTAATGGAGACATTCTCTTGTGCATCAGACTGCTAACCTGCAGGCCTGGCAGGTGGCGTGTGTATGGCGGTACAGCAAGTAGGTCGATGACCCGCCTGTACAGAATTGTGTATGTTAATTGTGTACGTTACCCCCTCGTATGCCTGGAGTTTAATCATAGTAATGAAACAAAAATATGTAATTTTACCATTCCTCCCTGAGTCTCAAGACTCGCTTGCCACGAGGGTCCCTGCAACATTGCGGGCGTTTGGCCAATTCCATCGATGGGAGCTTGGGAGGAAACGGGAGGACCCGGAAAATACCACACGACGCCTGCCAGGTTGTAACACTCAAATGTCAACACAGATGGGTTCAGGAATCCGCTCCCGTACGCGGCTACCCAATGGCGGAGCCATGATTTTCAGGTAGGGGGGGGGGGCAACCCCTCCAGCAATTTAAAATGATAGAGGAGTTGTTAGTAAGTAAGGACTTGTCCCTTGCTTTTTATTCGACGCGTGTGCGGCGATGGCGCAGCCATCGATCGAGGGTAGATTTCGAACCGCGTTGTGTGATCGGCATCGCGCCCGCTGAAGGTGTTGATGCCTTCAGGGAAGTCGTGTACTGTATACGCGACTGCGCACAATTCTGTGAGTCACTTAGAACTGCTTTGCCGTTACTTATTGCCAATTATAGACTCAAACTATTGTCCTATCATCTCATAGAGTCCCTGGCACGTAATAATATGCTACACAGTGACAGTGGGGGTCGCCAAATGCCGATGTATTACTAATAAACACAAATGATCCTATCGAAATGAGGGATTTCGATCGGATAGGAGTTGTCAGTTCGATTTGCTCTCACGAATTAGGGTCTTCGATAGGGGACTGGTCAATCAGCCCAAGGCAAGACCCTCCCCAAAAGAGGTATTGGGATTCAGTGAAGCCTTTAACTCCATGGCTAGGTAGAGGGATCGTACGGAGGAGCAGTGCTGCTCCATCTCGGCTGGCGTGAGGGTCTATTCTCTATAAACACCAGACAGGGTGCCAAGTGTCAGCACTGGCTGTTATACGTATCAGCTGGCAGCCGCCATAGAAACGTGGAATTTCCACCACCGGCTCAGGGCCCCTATAACGCGAGCTTTTATACAACCAAAAAATGCCGATTATCACGCAAGAAAAACGGAAACTCGACACATTCGTAAATAACACTGTGGCCTTAAAAGGAAATAAGTCTATAATAGATGACGTTTCGAGCAATGGCCCTTCATCACAGCACGTAGAGGGAGAGGCCAGAGAAGGGGCAGAGAGACGGCGTGACAATTATGAAGAGGGAATACGACTGAAAGGTCACCACGGATGGCTTCTGGAACCCACTTGCTGTGCTGCCATCTACTGGCCACCGCACAGCGCAAAAGGGATTGGGAGCTTCGCAAATATCTGCGTGATCCACCAACTCTGGGCATGTGCCCGTCCATCTGAATCGACAACCCGAGTTCAAAATCGGGAACCGGTCCTATCAGGCGCGCTTCAAAGCAATACCGAGTGATTGATGTTATCCGAATTCTATTGGATTCGTTTTTGCCGCAATCTGCAACAAAATAACCGAACATGTTGAGCTATTGACGAAGAATCTGATATATTATATTTGGATTCAGACATTTCTTAGAGCCACCAGATACACAAAGTTCGTACAAAATGGGATATTTTTTCCAGTGTCAAAGTATGAAAAAAATAAGAAGAGGTTCAACCATTTCTGGCAATAAAGAGCATGTTTTGTTTGCATGTTCACGACAAGAACCGTGTGTGGTTAATGTAGTACTTGATTCCTTGCAAAATGTTTCTATTTGGGTGTTTGAACATCTTAACACAATCTTGATTTGAAGCTTTCGTTACTGCAGGAATCCATACTCTATGGGTCTTTTGGTAAAGTCACGTAGGTAGAAAAATAATCTTAACACAATCTCGTGTTTGATTGCCAGAAAGGGTAAAACCTATTCAAAGTTCGTACACCTATAGATGTAAAAAGACATGGACATCCTTTCCCCTACAAATTACAAACACATTTTTGGAGCTAATTTCTTGTTTTTTTTAAGCATAGATGGGATAATGGTAATTTCTGAACGGCATTCGAGTTTATCCACAACACAGGTTTATCTACAACACAGGTTTATCCACAACACAGGTTTATCCATAACACAGGTTTATCCACAACACAGGTTTATCCATAACACAGGTTTATCCATAACACAGGTTTATCCACAACACAGGTTTATCTACAACACAGGTTTATCCACAACACAGGTTTATCCATAACACAGGTTTATCTACAACACAGGTTTATCCACAACACAGGTTTATCCATAACACAGGTTTATCCTTAGCACAGGTTTATCCATAACACAGGTTTATCCACAACACAGGTTTATCCACAACACAGGTTTATCCATAACACAGGTTTATCAACAACACAGGTTTATCCACAACACAGGTTTATCTACATCACAGGTTTATCCATAACACAGGTTTATCCATAACACAGGTTTATCCATAACACAGGTTTATCCATAACACAGGTTTATCCATAACACAGGTTTATCTACAACACAGGTTTATCCATAACACAGATTTATCCATAACACAGGTTTATCCACAACACAGGTTTATCCATGACACAGGTTTATCTACAACACAGGTTTATCCATAACACAGGTTTATCTACAACACAGGTTTATCCATAACACAGGTTATCCACAACACAGGTTTATCCATAATACAGGTTTATCTACAACACAGGTTTATCCATGACACAGGTTTATCTACATCACAGGTTTATCCATAATACAGGTTTATCTACAACACAGGTTTATCCATAACACAGGTTTATCTACAACACAGGTTTATCCATAACACAGGTTTATCCACAACACAGGTTTATCCACAACACAGGTTTATCCACAACACAGGTTTATCCACAACACAGGTTTATCTACAACACAGGTTTATCCACAACACAGGTGTATCCTTAACACAGGTTTATCCATAACACAGGTTTATCCACAACACAGGTTTATCCACAACACAGGTTTATCCACAACACAGGTTTATCTACAACACAGGTTTATCCACAACACAGGTTTATCCACAACACAGGTTTATCCACAACACAGGTTTATCCACAACACAGGTTTATCGACAACACAGGTTTATCCACAACACAGGTTTATCCACAACACAGGTTTATCCACAACACAGGTTTATCTACAACACAGGTTTATCCACAACACAGGTTTATCCACAACACAGGTTTATCCACAACACAGGTTTATCCACAACACAGTTTTATCCATAACACAGGTTTATCCACAACACAGGTTTATCCACAACACAGGTTTATCCACAACACAGGTGTATCCATAATACAGGTTTATCTACAACACAGGTTTATCCACAACACAGGTTTATCCACAACACAGGTTTATCCACAACACAGGTTTATCCACAACACAGGTTTATCCACAACACAGGTTTATCTAT